CTTATGCAGATGATACACAGCTAACTGCAAATTACTCCTTTTCAAAAACTATCCCAAAATTTTTCTGACATCAAATTGTGTAAACGTGACATTAAAGACTGGATGACAAGAAACATGTTGAAATTGAATGACACTAAAACAGAATGTATCTTCTTTGGTCCAAATACTCGTCTGAAAAATCCAGGTTCAAATGGTGTGGTTGTAGCAGATGCAACAATTGCACCATCAGACACTGTGAAGAACTTAGATGTCCTCTTTGAGCCCAATCTAAGCATGGACAGTCACATATTATATTATTATTATTAATGTGCTGAAAATTTCAGCCAAATTGCTTCACTCTGAACCGAGATATTAGCGATTCAATTTTAGGCTAGCCTTGATTGTCATTACTACCGTTGGTACGATAATAAACAGTCTCGATTAACCTTTTTTACGTTAAATCATCCATCACAAAACGTATTCAAATGCACTAAATATCGCAGACTAATGATGGCATCGAGAGTTCATTATGGTCTTGATAAATTAATTAACGGCTAATTAATAATTTATATAATATTTAATTAAGAAAGACCTGCAACAGGCAGATTTAGCTCTTGCATTGGGGTTATAGTTCATTACATCAATACCTTGATTAATTTCGATGATGAGCATTTTCTGCTTAGGCTAAGTAGAGACTTCAATTTGACTGGTTGAGAATTTAGAACACAATAACTTTCCATCTAATTGAGGTAGAATGTTCGAACTTAGTGTGGTGTGGTTCCCCCTTGTCAGTGATGCAGGACGGAGGGCCTGACAAGGACAGCAGTCTAGTCGTTCGGATTGGGTGAAAAAACCTAGGTCCCGTGTACACATTCGTTTTAAGAGTAGGCAAAATTTCCCTCATAGCACACAGGTCAGTATGGTGTATGCCGTCTTCATTAGCCCAGTTCGGAGCAGAACAGTAGGACAATAAACCTCATTTCATTTCATTTCATTTCGAACTTGGTGTACGTCACGATTAGGTGAATGCCTTGACAGTGTTCGATCATATGCATTTTCCACTAAGGTTTAACAGAGATAAGCAATTTGATTCTAATTGTATAGTTCCATTACATGAAAACCCTGATTTGGATGATGAGCATTTTCTGCTTAGACTAAGTAGAGACTTCAATTTGATTGGTCAAGACTTTGGAACACAATAACTCTCCATCTAATTGAGGTAGAATGTTCGAACTTGGTGTAGGTCCCTATTAGGTGAATCTCTTGACAATGTTCGATCATATGCATTTTCCACTAAGGCTAAACAGAGACAAGCTATTTGATTGAAACTCAGAGTATAGATTCATTATATCAATACCTTGACTAAGTTTGATGATGAGAATTTTCTGCTTAGGCTAAGTAGCGATAAGCAAGTTGATAGGTCAAGACTTTGGAACAAAACAACTCTGCTTTTAATTGAGATAGAATGTTAAAACTTGGTGTAGATGTTCATTAGGTGAATGCCTTAACTGAGTTCAATGATTAACATTTTCCGCTTAAGCTAAGCAATTTCATTGGTCAATGCTTTGAGACTTTGCAACATGATAACTTTGATTCTAACTTACGGAGAGTGATGAAACTTAAGCTCCGTTTACCCTTGGCTGCGATAAGGGTGCCGTTCTGGGCATGGTACCAGGCCGCGATAAATTTCAAGAAATCGACCCCTTTACATTGCTCTAAAATAACCGGTCTCAGAACCGTGCCAAGCACGCTAAATGTGGAACTCTTCACAGAAAAGTTAATTTCAGTCCCTATACAAATTACCCAGATAAAAAACAATTATGATGGTTGATTTAGTTTGAGCAGCCATTTTGACAGAACTGATGACAGAGCTGTCAAAGTTTGCGGAGAAAAAGGTCAAGGTTCATTTGGCGCATGCGCAGTAATCCGTGCTCAGACCGGTTAGCATTTACACTACGAAAATTCAAAGCGAGCCAGTCTTGGTACCGTTCCGAGACCACCTCACTTCAGTGGGCTAGATTGGCACCGTACAGGGTACGGCACGCTTACGTTTGACCCGTTTACACTACAAAAGATAGGTTTCCGGGCAACGAAACATACGCCCACAGCAGCTATATCGTCCGGGCAGTCAACAAGAGTTGTCGTATATTTTTACTTTTTTCGGTAATGAAACATTTATAATACATTAAAATCGAATTAAGAGTAACAACTCATTTAGTAATTATCAGAAAACCATTAGAATTTGTTTGGTTTTTATAAAGTTCTGCCCCATGCTAATGTTTAGTGTACGAAACTATTAACATCATGGATTTAGCTGCTCAAGTCATAAAGATTCATTGAAAATCAATAGGCTTCTTCGTCTCATGACCTTAAACACTGTGTATAAATTTAAAGTCAATCGGATATTAACTTTAACCTATAGAGCGTCCACAATTGACCGACGGACGGACGGACGAGGGCGACAACAATATGCGACCACATTTCAATGTGGGCGTATAAAAAGCAAAGCTTGCCGTGCCTGGTACGCTTAGAATTTGTAACGTAAACAGGGTTATAGTGTAGAGTTTCACTATCAGGTACTTCAAAACCTTGACTGAGTTCGATCGTAAACATTTTCTGCTTAGACTACTAATTGACGATCAGTTTGATTGTTCGATACTTTTCAAAAAGATAGCAGTTTAACATTTCGAAATTTCATCGTTGACTTCTATCGTTCGAAAATTGAAAACACACTGTTTACGAGACAATTTTTGTTATTTTTAAAATGTTCAAATTTGACCTACATTTTTGGATACCTGAAGTCCATGATTCCAGTACTATAAGTTTCATTCAGAGTTATCGCCCTTTGATTTTTTGATTTTTTTTTTTTCAATTTTCTATCCATTTTTTAACCCTTATTTCTGAAACTGCTGGAACATTAAGCTATATGGCCAAACTTATTGTTAAAGCAATCCCAACAATAATCCGTAAACTGGAAGTCGTCGAAATAAAGTCTGATATTTTGGAAAAAAATGCAAAAAATTGATGTTTTTGGGAAAAAGGTGATTTTTTCCGTGCAACATCATCAGATTTAATCGATTTGGAGCCTTTTCTGACGTCTTTATCTCGAAAACTACTCCCCTGCGATTTTCTTAAATTTTCACTATCGAGAGTCCCTTTGTTAGTCTTATGTATAATTATAAAAAAGTCCAATATGATGGCGATATTACTGGAACATGGCAAAACTGGGACTGAAAATAAAAAAAATTCGAAAAATCATTAAATTTTGGAAAATGCTCTATTATTTTTTTCCATTTACAGATTTTCAAAACAGGTTTATATATTCGAATAGCTGACCTAACAACACGATATATATCTATTACTAAATCGATTTTAAGTCTTCTGTCGAATCTTGTCAGGATCTCCATCCTACAGCACTGACAAAACCACGCATCAAAAAACCTGATGAAAGTAGAGAGCAAAGAAAGATTCGACTGAAGACTTAAAATCGATTACAGAATACAATACTATCTGTGCAAGAAGAAATTAAAATTGTTTAGGACTATTAAATTTTCTAGAACTTCAAACATTTCCGTCTATTTGAATCCATGTCCAAATATAAATTCCGATACGGTAGTCAGTGGACATAAACTGCACTTCCGTGGCGAGAACAAGAGAAGACGAGAAGTCGAGAATGTGACGAACACGAGAGGACGAGATTAACTCAAAGGCAAGAAAACGAGGGAGTGAGAAGTCAAGGATTTTCAAAGGCAAGAACACGAGGGATCACAAAGTCGAGAACACGAGGGAGCGAGAACTCGAGGGACGAGTGAGCGAGAAGTCGAAGTGAAAATAATCTCGTGTTCTCGGGGCGATTCCTCGCATTCTCGCCCTGTTTCCTTGTGTTCTCGTCCTCAACTTCTCGCTCCCTCGTGTTCTCGCCCTCGACCTCTCGCGAAATTCTGAAATGGCCGCAATAGGCTTCCATAATGGCTAGTGTTTTATTGGCTGTAAGATGTTACATATATTTCTAACTGTAAGACACGATTATCGTTACATGTATTTGTTACTGACCATAAGACACGTGAAGGGATATTTGCCTCAACCAGTGGTGGACAAAGAAAGAAGTAAATAAATAAATGTATTAGATAACTGGTATTATGAAATGCGATAAACATTAACAAATGATTTCAAACGCCTATCATTAAACTTACATGTGTGTCAATGGACCTTGATTGATAGGTTTACGTCTATGAAATAGATCTTGATCACACACATGCATTAGTCGTCGGTCCTCATTATCGTGGACCGTTGAATTCAGGTACATAATTTAAAAGCGCTGATTATTTTCTATCTTCTATAACAAAAACAGAAATTTTCTTAATGACAATAAAAAAATGCCCTGTATCAATCACTGAAAATGCAACGTGGCATGTACTTTACATTATCTGTCCTCAATTATTGGGACCGACACTTGATGCAAGTGTGTATGGTCATATAAGCCTGAACCTATGGACTGAGGACGTGAACACGCTTCTAATAATAGATTGTATTTTGTAAAAGGGAGTCATGACATGTATTTAAAAATTTTCTAAAGTTGTTGGTGTTGGTACTGTACATTCTAATTGAGTGCAACAAGACGTTGTCTCCCCTTAGACCACAGAATCCTCTCGTTTTGTTTACAAATTATATCGGAATATTATAACTTAAAATGTAGGAATCTGTCAAATAGAGGACATGTAAATGTATAATAATAGTGTGTAATCGATGTCTTCAAAATTCTTTTAAAAAGGGGCATACCTAGGTCTACTGTGTACTACTTATAAACATGATGTTCGTAACATCTGCCACTGACTGTAACTTACAAATTCTAAGATACTGTTGGCAGCTGTTGCTGACTGTAAGAAATGTATCTGTTGCCGACTATGATACAAGACATGACATGCATATGTTACTCCCTTTATCTGTTACTGACTGTAACACGCATCTATTACTAAGACCCACATTGTGTACCCGATACGAATTGTAAAACAACAAATGTGTTACTGTAAGACACCATGTTTATCTGTTACTGTTAAACACGGCATGTATATATTTATAAGTCACCTCGTGTATCCGTTACTAACTGTAAGACACGGCTTTACAATAGGAACCAAAACATAATAATAATAATAATGATGATTTTTGTATCGTGCAACTATTCAATCTACTAGGGAATGCATTGTCAGATATTTTCTGGAAGTGTATTCCACACAATTGATGCGCTGAATCAAAAAGTTTTGGATCCAAATGATTTCAAATTACGGAAAGGTACATCCAATAATAGTTTCCCTTCTGATCTTAATGATCGTTTAGGTTCATACAATGATACTAGATTTTGAAGATAACCTGGCGCGGATTTTTTTATCGATCGATAGGTTAACGATAAGATTTTAAAGTTCATCCTTTCTCGAACATGGAGCCAATGTAATTTGTTCAAGACTGGGGTGATGTGTGATCTTGATTTAGTTTTTGTGACAATGTAAGCAGCGCAGTTTTGTAATCTTTGGAGTTTTGAAATCTGTTCGTTCGTAATACCAGTTAGTAATGAATTACAGTAGTTGATTCTAGAGAGGACAAAGGATCAGACTAAGGTTGCAGCAGCGTCTTCTGTTAATAGATGACGAATGAACCCTATCCTTCGAAGATGGTAATGTTCACATGGTTTTCAAAACTAAGACGAGAATCGACAAGAATTCCAAGATGTTTTACAGTTCTAGACACAGAAATTTCAGTGTTTCCAATGTTGATCGATCAAATGTCACATTTCTTAAGTCTGTTAGCAGGACCAATGGGAAGAAACTGATCTTAATGATCGTTTAGGTTCATACAATGATACTAGATTTTGAAGATAACCTGGTGCAGATTTGTTTATCGATCGATAGGTTAACGATAAGATTTTAAAGTTCATCCTTTCTCGAACACGGAGCCAATGTAATTTGTTCAAGACTGGGGTGATGTGTGATCTTGATTTAGTTTTTGTGACAATGTAAGCAGCGCGGTTTTGTAATCTTTGGAGTTTTGAAATCTGTTCGTTCGTAATACCAGTTAGTAATAAATTACAGTAGTTGATTCTATAGAGGACGAAGGATCAGACTAAGGTTGCAGATTCCAAGATGTTTTACAGTTCTAGACACAGGAATTTCGGTGTTTCCAATGTTGATCGATCGAATGTCACATTTCTTAAGTCTGTTAGCAGGACCCATGGGAAGAAACTCTGTTTTTTCATCGTTGAGTTTAAGCATTTTGACATTATCGAGACACCCTTCCAGAGGACAATTTGATCGATCGGAAGTGGCTTGAAGCTGTCAAGGAGTTGAGAATCATCACCATATAAATGATACAGCAGTTTATGACCATGAATAAGTTTACCTAACATCTTTGTATACATTGTGAAGATTATCGGGCCCAAAACGGATCATTGAGGAACATCACATAATAGTTGCTGTCTTCAACATACTGAAATCGTCAGGTGAGATAGAATGAAAACCATTTTAGAATGTAACCAGTTAGTCTATTGACGACAGTCGATCCAGTAGGTTGCCGTGGTCAATAGTATCGAAAGCTGCTGATAAAGCCAAAAGGACGAACCACTCCTGTCTTTCCATCATCAACATGTAGCAGGTTTCTATTCACAAAGACGAACAAAACACCAGGTCATGGGTTCAGGATTTTATTTTGGATCATCAATTTAGTATACAGATAAAAAAAACTCTGAAAGACATAAAGAAATGTATAAAATTCAAAAATAGTAATAGTTTACACTATATACATATATTTAAAATAGTGGCGGGAAATCATTGATTTGAAACAACGGAATGTATAAAATGGCGACCTAGTGTCCAGATAATTCAATAATATATACATACAAATACATACCCTATAAAATGGGAGTTTATAATAATTCTGATTATTCCCAAGAAGTTTACCATATAAAATACAGGACTGAAATTAAGGATATGATTAAATTAACACTAAATAGCTGAGCGTAGAATATTCTCAATTACACAAACATACTTATGGAAATACTTATATAAATATACTAATAACTTAATTATTTCAGATATAAAAAATATTCTAATTACAACAGTGAGGCTGATGTCCCCCGCCGAAATCCCCAAATAAATAGATGACACATATTAATTAATCGCACATCTATTTTTTTCAAAAGTATCAAACTGATTATCAACTATACACTAAGTTTCATCACTCTCTATCAGATAGAATCAAAGTTATCTTGTCCCAAAGCATCTACCAAGGAAATTGCTTATCTCTGCTTAGCTTTAGCTCGATATGTTAAACAATGAACTCAGTCAAGACGAACATCTACATGAAGTTCAAACATTCTACCTCAATTAGAAGCAGAGTTGTTATATTCCAAAGTCTTGACCAATCAAAATGCTTATTGCTCCTTAGCCTAAGCAGAAAATTCTCATCATCGAACTAAGTCAAGGTAAATGTTATTACGTCACTCTGAGAATTGACCGTCACGTGACCATTTATGTGTGTGTTGTGTAACCATTAACCGAGGACCTTGTATTAATTGGCATAAATGAGGACATCTTAAATTTAGCCGATACACACAACAATTTTTCTTGATAAAAAATGCTAAACACACCGACGGTACAGAACCGCTTTATCGAGGTATGAATTATGATCAAGTGATTTTTACAGTCTTCGGAGCATGCCTGAATAGCCAGTACTATATCAAACTGAGGACGTCCTCGGTTTGGGCCATGTCTGCAAATAGAAGGTTTAAATCCTTATGGTTGTCCTCGATAAGGACCATCCACAAACACTCATACACACACACAGACAAGGTTTTTTATCGTACCGACTTTAATAATGATGATCGACGCTTAGCCCAAAATGCAATCGCTAAGTTCTCGGTTCAGAGTGGATCAATTTGACTTTAGTAATGATAATCGAGGCGTGGCCCTAAATTAAATCACTAAATTCTTGGTTCAGTTTGGATCAATTTGAATGAAATTTTCAGCAAATCCCCATTACATTATCTAGTTTCTAACCATTATAGTGAGAACTGCCAGCTCTTTATCTAATCTCCCATAATGTATCGTTAAATTACATCCCACTTCTACCTCGTTGCCAGAGGCAACCTTTGATAAATCTTTCCTGTTTATTTCCAATACAGGCATAAAAGTATCTGTGTATCAGAAAGAGTACTTTTCATTTCCGACAAACGAACACTTTTATACAAGCAGTGAAAATAAGCAGGATGAAAACAAATGCCTAGAAAGTCATAAATTTTATTACAAATAAATTTCAGTGGATGAACCATCCGCTGATGGACACTTCACCTGGATTGACCCACGTTTTGCAGTATCTTTTAAATTACGTTTAATATAATTGCAGTCCTCTACGCCAGGGACAAGTTGTTTTGACGATGTGGTCGATTCTATGTTCATGTCATCTATCTGTGGAATGGGCAGTTTTGGCGATGTGGTCTGCTCTATTTTCAGATCATTCGGAGTGCAGTCTAAAAAAACATGTGACTGTTTTACGCTCAGGTTAATGCAGCAAGACGCACGTGTAAATGCAATACTACTCAGATCGTTTCTCCACTGCAAAATTATTCTGCCATGAAATGTAACGTGTGAGGTGATTTTGCATGGACAGCAGTCGAACTCCATCAAGGCATTCACCTAATGAATGCCTACAACAAGTTTGAACATTTACCTCAACTAGAAGGAGAGATATTGTGTTCCAAAGTCTTGTCCAATCAAATTACTTATCACTCTGCTTATAGTGTGGTATAACAAGTCATCCCGTAGGATTTGTATGCTAAAATTGATTTTTTTGTTGTTTTGGGTTGGTGTTGGACCAAACTATCCAAAAATGTTGGGGTTCAGATTTTCCGACCCCTTGTCCCCCCTGGGAGAGGCATTTTTGAAATTGGGACCCCTATGAATGAGGACATGGCTATCTCCGCCAATAATGGTTGGATTTTCATGATCTGAAGTTCATTCTTGTGTTTTTTCATCATGATACACTTAAAGCGATTGGAAGTAATTTTCATTGATTTCCGGGGGAGAATAACAATTTCCGGGGGAGAATAACAATTTCCGGTGACAAATTTGGATTGATTTCAGCCAATAATTTGTAGATTTTCATGATCTGAAGTTTATTCTGTTTTTTTTTATTTTTCATCAGGCCGACCCCATCTATGATACACTTAAAGCGAATGGAAGTAGTTTCTATTGACTTCCGGTGGGAAATGCCAATTTCCGGTGTCAAACTGGGATTGATTTCAGCCGATAATCATGGGATTTTCATGATCTGAAGTTCATTCTGGGGTTTGTTCATCATGCTGACCCCATTCTAGGGTTCCAATTTTTCGACCCTTGACCGCTCTGGGAGGGGCCTTTGTGAAATTCGGACCCCTCTGACCAAGTCCATGGCAATTTCTACCAACAATGACATTGTTGGATTTTCATAATCTGAAGTTCATTCTGGGGTTTTGCCATCTATGATACACTTAAAGCAAATGGGAGGAGTTTTCATTGAATTCCAGTGGGCAATACCAATTTACGGTGTCTCAGCCTACCACTTTTTGTGGATTTTGAGGCATGGTAAAATGATTAATATGGTCACTTTTGGGTGACTGGAATGTTCTGTCATGAGATTCAAGACACTTTGACATTTGTAATAAGTAAACAAGTTTAATATCAAAAACAAAAAGAATCTTAACAAGCAAGATCCTATCTTAGAAGTAAATATATATATATCAATTATTCATCATCCTCGTCCTCCTGTACCACACTATTACCCTAAGCAGAAAATGCTTATCATGGAACTTAGTCAAGGTATTGATGTGATAAAACTATACACCAAGTGTCCTCACTCTCTCTTAATTAGAACTAAAGTTTTCGTGTCCCAAAGCATCAACCAATCAAATTGCTTATCTCTGCTTACCCTTAGCAGAAAATTCTCATCTTCTAACTCCGAACTTCATCAAGGCATTCACCTAATAAACACCTATGCCACGTGTGAAGATTCTAGCTCAATTAGAATGAGAGTTATTGTGTTCCAAAGTCTCGACCAATCAAATTGATTATTGCTCTGCTTACCCTGAGCAGAAAATGCCCATTATCGAACTTAATCAAGGTATTGATGTATTAAAACTATACTTCAAATTTCATAACTCTCACTTAATTAGAACTAAAGTTATTGTGTCCCAAAGCATCAACCAATCAAATTGCTTATCTCTGCTTACCCTAAGCAGAAAATGCTCATCTTCAAAATCCATCAAGGCAATGACCTAATAAACACCTACACCAAGTTTGAACGGTCTAGCTCAATTAGAAAGAAAGTTATTGTGTCCCAAAAAGTGTGACAGACAGACAGAAGGCGGGGGACAAAAATAATGTGATTTTTTGTACAATCAGGAGCCATAATCCTGGAAGATATGGTCCGATATGCGCGAATATCGAAAGGAATCAAGATCTTCGGGTTAAGAACATACATTTTAAGTTTCATCAAAATCAGATAAAAATTGTGAGTTCTAGAGGGTCCACAACCTTCGTATTATATACTTTGACACAACTTGCGTACAAAAAGAGCGGCCATTTTGTTGGACAGTTTCATTTTAATTTTTCCGAAATTCGTTGTCAACCTTCATTATGGTGGAATGGTGATATATTTAAACGGTTTTTAAAATCGGAAAAAAAATTGTGACCTCTTGAGAATCCCCAAGCCAAAAATGCGATTTTTAAAACAATCAGGGGCCATAATCCAGGAAGTTAGGTTCGGATATGCGCGATTATCAAAAGGAACCTTGATCTTAGTGTGTAACAGTGATATATTCACAAGTATTTTTAAATCAAATAAAAATTGTGAAATTTAAATTTTGTACAATCAATGGCCAGGAAAGTAAGATCCAATATGCGCAAAAATCTAAAGGAACCAAAATCTGTGGGTTAAAGTTACAATTTCATATTTTCTAAGAAAGTCAAAACATAATTATACTATTCAAAAAAAGTAGGGGATATTTGATTTTGGGGCATAATACTAAAATATGCAAATGACTACGAAAAAGGTCACTATAGAACCTAACAGAAGAAACATTTCCAGTTACATGTGACGCCCAAACGCACCAATAGCTACCGCATGGAATGCAGGTGATGCTTGGGATCATCATGGGGGTCCAACCCAAGATTTGCACGACTCTGACTTTGAATGTTACAGTCATTGTGGCATTGAATTCCAGGGTGGAAACATCAGTTTAATTGTTTTAGTGACCAGAAAACAAATTTTGATATGCGTCGGCTTACCCAAAATGAAAGGTTACGTGCCCTTGGCATGCTACAGATCGGCACAACACAGGCGGTTGTGGCGCGGACGATGAATGTTTCTCAGTCTGTCATAAGCAGGCTATGGTCCAGATACCGTGATACACACTCTGTACAGGACAGACCACGCTCAGGTCGACCAAGGGGGACAACTCAAGCCCAGGATCGATTTATCCGTACCATGGCCTTGAGAAATCGTGTCATCACAGCAAATCAGATCAGCGCTCGTCTTCAAACAGACACTGGTGTGAGAGTGAGTGGCCAGACGATTCGGAATCGACTGCATAGGGGTCACCTTCGCGCCCGACGTCCTCGCGTGATCCCTTGTTTGAGAGATCATCACATTCAGGCAAGACGTCGTTGGTGTAGGGATCGTCAACACTGGGATAATCGACGCTGGAGCAATGTGATGTTTTCAGATGAGTCAAGGTTCACTGTTGATTTTTTGGACAGACGTAGGAGGGTGTGGCTTCGTCGAAACGAGCGCTTCCAAGACGTTAACGTCATCAGACATGATCGATTTGGTGGTGGTTCTGTTATGGTGTGGGGAGGCATCACTGTTGCTGGAAGAACGGCTTTACATGTTGTTGCAGGGCGTGTTACAGGCCAGTACTACCGGGACAACATCTTGGCAGT